ATGCCAGGGGATTGCAGCTCGGCGTTGGGAATGGCTGGGATGAGCCACCCGTCGCGGCCTAAGCCGTATTGTGGCGATGAGAGGGCGTCCGTACCTGTCTCAACCCAGTGTCCTCTACTGATGGCCCACCGCCGGACCTCGCTGCGATCCGGGAAGCGAACCGTGTTGCGTCGGTGCTCGTGGACCAGGTGTTTGCAGATCCTGGCTTTTCGCTCCAAGTTGGTGTCAGTAGGACCGTTCTCCGCCACGTCCGGTGCGGGAACATGTCGCCACCTGGACATGCCGAGGAGGGTCGGGGGAAAGAGGTCGTCCGTCGGGTCGCACATGCCTATGTCCATGTAAAGAGCGGCGTGGTATACTATGTCGTGTTCCCTCTCCGCCGCTATAGTTTCTCCCTGTGTCAGTTCGCGCAGATCGTGGATTTCATCCCCGATGTCTGGGTCCTGTGCAAGACTGGCATAGCGGAGGGCGAGCACCTGGACTGGGTCAGGCCCAACTCCACCTAGCCTGGCTTCGTGGTCAGCTCCTGCGATGGACCAGACCAGCCAGGAAATGTCCAGCTGAGCCATAGCTGAAGCACAGCTGCGAAGGCTTCCCGTGTTTTCCCGCTCGGTCCGGGGACAATTGCCCCCCCATGTCGCTGGGGGGCCCATGTTCCCAGGGGGGTGACGTAGCCAGCATCGGCTGATTAGCTCGATTAGCCCTTCACACGTGGCTCGGCTGCGGGGGGGGGGCCTATGATCACTCCACGGTCCGTCCCTAGGCTCGTGGTGTTCGAGCAGGGCTGAGATGGGACCTCCCCTCATGGTGTTCTTGGGGTCCATCGCTATGGGGGCCCGGCAGGGTGAGTCAATGTTACGCGACACCCCACTTCTTGGAGGCGGGGGAGGTCTGGGCTGGGGCGCGCGCCCCCTTTGCCCGCGAATGTCCTCCCCTCTTACTGGGCTGTGCGCCCCTGCCGTTGCAGGTCGAGATGGCCAGATGCCTGGGGGGGGGGAGATTGGGCTGTCGCGACCCCAAGCGTCCGAATCGGAGGTACTACCATCGACGCAATCCCAATCGTGTGCCTCGTCGTGCGGGAGTCTGTCATCTCGTTCATCCTCGCTTGGGTCCGACCCCCCTCCCGAGTCTGGCCCTGTCATCACATTGTGGCCGTGCTCCGTGTCATGCTGCCTTTCTCCGCCCGCGCCGATTCCTAGCGGGTCGAAAGGCACCGCTGGGGTTATTTCACGGTCCTCTGTCGTGTCGGCCCTGGGGGGCCACGTCGGGAAGGCGGTGGTCGGGTCGTGTGTCTCTTCCCTCTGTGCAGCGCCGATATCTGAGGCACTGCCCACAGTTGCCACCTCGGAGGATTCGGGCATCCTGCGTGCTTCTGCATCTCGGGGCGGCCACTGGGCCGTGGCCAGACCGCCATGCCTCTCGCGGGGAGGGGGGGGAGAGGAGGCGCAGCCGATAGCCGCAGGATCTGGTGAATTGGGGGATTGGGCGAGAGGGGCGGTCATGCGCGCCCTCGCGGGGCACGCGTCGTCGGCGCCTGTGTCAGCCTGAGCTTGCGCTGGCTCAGTATGGGGGGATGCCATCCTTGATGGACTGCCCCCGCTCCTTTGGAGGCTCTGTCCCTGTCTAGTGGGGGGATCGCGCGCGATAGGAGGATGAAAGGGGGGGGGGAGGCGCAGCCGATAGCCGCATTCGCTGGTGAACCAATGGAGGGGAGGGGGCAGTCACCGATGCGTGTCCGTGCGGAAACATCTTCCTCGTCGTCGGTGCCCCGTCCAGCTTCTGCCGCGTCGGCCCTCCTGTTTCCGCCGTCCCGGCCAGGGGCGCTGCTGCTCACTATGGGGGGGGGGGGGGCCTCGCAGGCGCCCCCTGCGGCGTCATCGGTGGGGGGGGAGGAGAAGGCGCAGCCGATCGCCGCAGGACCTGGCGAATTGAAGGGAGAGGGAGGGTCGTTGTTCGGGAGCGTCCGCGTGGACCCTTGATCGCTTGTGATGATCTCCTGGCGTTGGGCTGTGGGGGAGCTGCCTCTGCCTCTGTCGGCGCAACCCCAGTGCCAGACGCTCCGCCAGCCAGTCCCTGGCCGTTCTGCCACTCTCCAGGTGACGTGGCACGTGCGCCCTGCACGTCAGGAGGATGAGTGGGGGAGGAGGCGCAGCCGATAGCCGCGGGATCTGGTAAATTGTTGGAGGAGAGGGGGGGGGGCGGCAACGTCTCTGCCCGTGTCCTCCTGCGGGGGATCGTTTGTCACCACTGTCGGGGGGGGCGCTCCGTCTTCCCTTCCGTGTGCAGCTTCGTCGTCACTTAGGCGTCCTTCTCCCGCACTTCCCGGCGGGGGCCCTGAGGCCCCGTCTCCAGCCGCCGTGGGTTGGGCGGCATTCGGGGATCGAGCCCCCATTGGACTGCCCACGCGCCCTCGCGGGGAGGCGGGAGGCGAGGGAGGGATTGGTATACGCTCAGGATTCATCGTCGCATCCTGGCCATCCGCTAGTGTCTGCGACTCTCCTTCTACCAGGCAGGGGCGAGACGTTCCCCGACTTGCCCTCGATGCTGGATCTGCCGCGCCTGTGGGCGATGGCTGCTCCGCGCGGGGGGATATTGTCCCAGTCGCTGGCGGTGGTTGGGCTCCCGCCCCACCTACCGCCCGATCTGTGTCATCATCCTCTCCATCTGGCGGGTCAGGCATCTTCTGCGTGGCAAGCGGGGGGGCCCTGTGGCGCTGGGCGGGAGGAACCGAGCGGCGTCCGGGCGCCCCCTTGAGAGGTGGGAGACTGCCCCGGAGGGAGCAAGCCAACCAGACGGCTTGAGCCGAAAAGGCTACGGAAACTTGTGGGGATACGCGAAGCGTCAACAATTCTCATGCACTATCTTGTAACCACGATTCTGCAGCATGCGCAAGTAGAACCCTCTAGTGCCATTGAAAAATAGATGGGGCAAACGAGGCTCTCTCTTCGGATAAGCTCCCATCACTTCCGTGAAAATGCGAGTAGGTGCGAAGTTCTTCCAGAACGCGTCTGCATCGCGCAGGACTTCGCACCCATGACCTTCCACATCGATTTTCATGAGGTCTATAGATCCCAGGTTGCGGAGGTAAGTGGGTCCGAACAGCACAAGCAAAATGGTGACTTTAATTTTGTGGATCCTGTCTGCCTTGTCTGTGTGTCGGCGAAAAGGGGGACAGCACAACTGGTACCAGCAGAAGGTTAGCATTTTTTCTCAGTGAGATCCTTCCGCAAAACGCAATGATTAGTTGGGCCATGGTCAAACCTTGATAGCGCCACGACATAACTATTAATCCTGTGCTCCAGATTGTTTCTACAAGTCGAAGCTCGAAGCAACTGAGCAGACATGGGGTTGGCCTCGATAGCGATGACTTTGTGCCCAAGCAAGGCCAATGCTAAAGCGAACACGCCAATGTGAGCTCCAATGTCTAAGACAACTTTGCGATCTGCGAGCGTCACAAGCCTGAAAACCATTTCACTACCAAAGTGCCTTGCCATGTCCCGTAACTGCGAATCTCATCGGAATGAGCCTTGCCTGAATTGCACACAGATTGCGACACACGGTCGTTTTTGGCGTGAGCTGCCACCACAAGCTGACCTACGCCACCAATGCTGAAACGGCACCACTGTCCCCACGCAGGCAGCGCCGAGCAACGAAGCTTACCTGGCCTGTCTTCTAGCTCAGACGTTATATTGCTGGTGCCATTCCAGTCCGACAGCTTCGCGAGAACAGACGTGACTGAGCATTTCCACATGGGGGGGGAACGGCTGACAGGTTGAAAACAAGACAAAGTCGCCTGAGCCAAAATGGCTTCCGAAGCCGCTACTGCCGTGCCACCGCATGGCCCGCGCGAGTCTGCCGATGCGGGATCTTCCACAGCCACCATGCCCATTCGGCATGGCGCAAAGGCAAAACAGTAGCTTGCGCAAGTCTACAAACGTAACCTTGGGATAACAACTTGAGCGCACACTATGTCACTGCACGCGTTGCATCATACATGCCAACTTACAGCTGACCTTATCACCTTGCAGATGACCTGATGAGACAACACTTACTCAATTCGAACCCAGCCCCATCTACTCCTCTCCCCAACGGGCCCTCGGCGACAACCGCACTATCATCAGCCCAATACATACTGCCACGCCCTCTTAGGCAAGCGTGCGTCTTGTTTGACAGTCCTGTGGCGGCGAAGATACTCCTTCTGTTCCTCCCGCTCATCTCTCTTGGTCCCCGTGCCTACACGCCACCATGCCGAAGGCACTGAGGGGAATTCCCTCAAGCCCCCTCCCGAGCTCCCAATACGGAGAACTGCATATACCCTAACATGGTCCAGAACCCCAAGTTCTGGGCGCTCTCGGGCCCGCATGACTTGTCCAAAGGGCTCAGGTGCGCCACTGAAAATGCACACTTCGAACATGTCCTGTGATGGCCCACGTGGCCAGTCCCCGGGCTCTCTCAGGGACCCCTTGGGCCGTCCTGGAGGCCACCGGGCTGGCCCAAGATACCAAAAACATGAACACCCTGCATGCTGGTATGACTTGACAGGGGCCGGCTCTCTGGCAGACTCTGGCATCCAGAGCGACCACGACGGCCCAGGAGGCCATCAGGATCCCCTCAAGACGGCCCACGACCGCCAAGACGGCCCAGGAGACCCCCAACGGCGGCCCCAAGAGGAAGACTCGGGCGCCCAAGCCCCCATGGCAGGCGACCTTCCGAGCGCCCGGGCCCTCTGTCTGCGCCATCCTCTCGGGGGGGCCCCTGAACGCGGCGCGGTGACCCCCCGCGGGCCGTCCGCTGCCGAAGCCCGGTGCGACGCTAGCGAGTGGCGGGGCCCCGTCAGATGGGCAAATTTTCCACCACCACTACAATAGGTAGGACTTGGGGAGAAGGGAGGATCGAGGGGTCCTCCTCCTCCTCCTCCTCCTCCGCCTCATCCTCCTTCTACCTATGGTAGTGGTGGAGTGGTGGTGGGAAATCGGCCCATCACCGTCTGGGGCAGCAGCAGCCGACCATCACGATCTCGTCCAGCGTCCGCACCTCGTCCATGAACTCCTGCTCGCCTGCGGCGCGGGCGAGCTTTGTACCCATATCCGCTGCGTCTTGGACTTTCTCGGAGGGGGCGCGTCCGGGGCGCAGTGGATGTGGATAAACATGTAGCGTGTAAGAGCCAGACTTGTACCCATGCCCACTTCGCCTCGGGTGTCGGGGAAAAAGAGCCCGACACTCCAACACGCAGTAGATATGGATATACATCTTTCCCGCAACCACGTCCGAACGAGAGTGGAACTAGAGGGGGGAGGAAGGGGTTGAAGAGGGAGAGGAGACGGGGAAGGAGGACGGTAAAGAGGAGGGGCAGGAGGAGCAGCAGCAGCAACGCTGCCATCCCTAAAAGAACCTTTCCTCTCTTCTATCACTGGCCTGACCCTGCTGCACAATATCGCGCACCTCTTTTCCGTGCTTTGCCTCTCCACGATCATGTTAGCATGCATAATGGCGCGCATTCCGCTCACACTTTTTAACGCACGCACCGTGTACCAAGTGCACGATTATGATACCGCCCTGGCTCCTTGAAACCTTTTTGTAGGAGAAGCGTGAACATGTAAACGCCCTAGATCTGCTACAGGACAGACACCCGCCGAAGGCACGCGAAAGGTGTTTGAGCTGGACAAATCATCACCGGAGTAACCGTTTGGGCCCTCGGCTCGACCTGGTATTTCTGCTTAGTTATCGTGATTCAGACTAGTAATCAAGCAGGTTATCCCCCTATGCCTCCTAGCGGGCGGGGGTGGTTAATATTTATCTCTTTGGATGCTTGCATCCACAAATACTTCTACTTCATATGGAGGTGGACTTCCAACGCTCTAGTACACGCACCCATACCCTTCAAGCAAACAGTCGGAGGAGCAATGTTCAAGGCAAGCGACGATACTGAGTTCTACAAGCAACATGCCAGCACGTCCCTGAGAAACAGATGGCCCAACGACATACCCGCTCATTCGGAGAATGGGCCCTGGACGGGTTCAGACATCCGATGCACAGTGGGAGTCTTGCTAAAGAAAAACGGGCCAACGTCCAAGTATGGAGCAACTCCTGTCTTGTGGAATGCTTCCAACGCTTGCATGTCTCCAACGAACAAAACGCGTGGAACCACAACGTTCGGATCATCCTGCGTGCCGCGAAGCCGGAATGGCAAGCAATACTTATGTTTGATTCCTACGGAACTCCCGTCTGGAAAACATACTTCAGCAATTCCAACACATGCGTTGGAACCCACATCCCAAAACGTCAGACAAAAGCATCCTGTATGTTGCAACGTCGTTGGCATGTGGGTGGTGGTATCTGGGGACATCCCCAAAGAGTCGGCAGGTCAGCAAGCAAGCCTGGCAGGCGTGTCTAGACTAGAAGAGCACTGCCATGCGACCCAGCTGAAAACCAGACACACAGACCTCGGTATAAGCATTGGCAAACATGCACACGTTGGTCGCTTGTCAGTCTATCCGCTGCATACGGACATACAACACATGCGTTGCGGAATGACTTGCTTGCCATCGAAGTGCTCTACATCCCCCCCACCCCCACTCACCCAGCCGCTACCCCCAACCCATCAAGGACCACGAAGGCCGAGAAAGAGACCCTATCCCCGTTGTCGTATCCTTCCCTGGCGTGAAAATCTGAACTCACCCCCATCGCCAGAAAACGGAAGGGCCACAAGAACTGGAGGAGATTGTTGGACACGCAAGCCTAGTTCCCGGATCTCGTATCATGGTGCCAACGTGTCCTCTCAATCTCGGCTGCATGCGTGTGTAGGCTCTTGTACGCGCGTGGATATGAAGCATGGTTGGGAAGTAATTGGAAGATCCCATGGGGCAAACCTGACGAACGCCCAGTGAGGCGGCATGACAACTTGGTGCCGTACCTACTCAAGGTATGGGGCATGTGTAGCATGTTGAGTCAGGCGGCCGCTCACACTCATCTATGATTGCCTCAATTTCTGGATTGTGCACTGTGCGCCACGCTCGCAGCGAATTGCAGACGTGTTGAGCTGGCTCCGACCGGATCCATGTTTTAATACTACTTGCTGCTGCACTTGTAAGTGCGGAGGGTGCAGCAGCAGCAGCTGTCCCATCTTAATGTGAAGCTTCCCTCTCTTCTACCACTGGCCTGCGAAGCACGCCGATCCCGACGACAACGATCAGCCCGCAGCCGAACCGTCGCACCCTGCTGCGCGACGCTGCGCACCTCTTTTCGTTGCCTTTTGCCCCGCCATGTTCATGTTGCCATGCGTAGTGGCGGGCTTTACAGCAGCCGAAAAGATGGTCAAGAAAACCATCGCTTTAGAAATCTGGGCCAGCTTCCCAGAAGCTTCTAGAAACAAGCCTGGGCCAATGTCTGCTATCGACGCTGGAGGGGCGAGCGCGCTGAAGAAAGTGGGACAGTTTTCTAGCAAGTTGGTTAAGAAACGCTGGCCCAAGTTTTCGGGAGGAAATTTCTTAATCATGTGCTCGGCCGTATGCTCACTCTTCGAACGCACGCACCTTACGCCATGTGCAAGATGATGATACCGTGCTGCCTCTTTAGAAACTCCGTGCAGGAGGATCGTGGGAACATAAACGCCCTGGATCTGTGGTGCGGCGGACGCCCGCCAAAAGAACGCGAGGGGTGTGCTTGAGCTGGAGAAGTCGCCATCAACGCAACCGTCTCGGCCCTCGGCTCGACCTGGCACCCTCGCTGGGCCATCGCAATCCAGGCCAGCGACCGAGCAGCAGCACCAGCAGGAGCAGCAGCAAAAACAGTAGGAGCAGAAGCAAGAGCAAGGTGGTGATGATGATAAACATGATGTCGACGATAATGAAGGCACCGCTTCGACAGCACCGAATGACGATGACAAGCAAATGACGATGATAATGGGCATGATGGTGCTGCGCATCCTGGGCCAGTCTACGCAAAACCTAGCAACATTGCTGTCAAAGCATCGCGGCCTTCACGGCCGCCGGGCCGGGATCACCAAAAAGACGGCACAATCAACGCGGCCTTTATGGCCGCCGGGGTAGCAGACAAGACGGCAACCAATGCCCCCAAGATTGTCCAAGGTTGCGCACACTAAGGCCACATCCGGCTCCCAGATGCCGCCCAAATCGCCCTGGATGTCCCAGCAAGATGTCCCTCTTATGCCCTCGAAGTATGCCCCAGAGGCCTCAACGAAGCCTAACTGTTGCGCAACGTTGCCTTAGAGGCCGCAAGACGCCTCCGCAAGGCCCCAAGAGGACCCAACAACTAATTCACTGTAGTGCCAAGGTGGCTCAGCCTGGCGGGCCTGCGGCAGAGGGCGTCGCCCTGCACATACGGATAAGACCTACCCTTGGGCTGTAACCGGCTGATGGGAGGAGAGGAGGTGATCTTTCCTGCGACAGAATTGAAGTTCGGGTTTGGGTTCGGGCAGAGGGAAATCAAAAGCTCGAGTTCGAACCCCCGAAAAAACCAAAGTTCGAAATAAGTTCAAGACGGCCCCCTGGCACAACAACGACGCTTCCAAGCTTTTGAATGTTGATGTTTTGTACTTGTTTCGAACATGTTGAACTGTTTTTGAACTTTCTTAACAGTTTGAACTTTTCTCTAACTTCTTTGAAGTGTTTGGTTTGTTTTTCGAGCTTTCTCCTCGCCGCCGAACGCTATCTGAACTGTTTTGTCCGAACTTGTTTCTCGCCGCCAAACTTTTTCCGAAATCGTTCAACGTCGCCACATGTTTTCCGCACTTGTCCCGGGCTTCAAGATTCCAGCAACGTTGATCTTGAACTTTGCAGAAACAGTGGCCTCACACCTTTCCTAACTAAGGAAATTTTAACATAAGGACCGTTCGCGCCCCCTCAGCCTGTTACAACCCTTGGGTGGTAAGGAGGTGTGCGGGGGTAGAACGAGTGCAGCGTGCGGTCTGCAATTGGCTTCGCGTCGGATTGCGTTACATATGTATAAATATATGTATGTATACACTCACAGATCTAGGACTGCATGGTGATACGTTCATATATGTATACATCTGCATATGTCAAGAGTGAGAGAGAGAGAGAGAGAGAAACACAACAAAAGAATAAGAAACCAACGCATAACGAAAACACGCGAAAACGTCACAGCGCACATAGCTCCTCTAGAAGTTCCCTCTGCCTTCCAAGCGTCTGGTTATCCACTTCCATGCGTGTATGTGCATATATACATATGTGTGTGTTTATGTGCGTGCATGTATAGCTGCCGTCTGCTAGCAGCGTGATGCATTACATTCATGTCTGCGGCGACCCATGCGTGCGTGTGTATGCACGTGTACACGCGTACATATGTATATGTGTAAAGGCGGGCACGAATATGCAATTACAAGTGTCTGGCACTTTGCGTTGAGCCAAAGATATCCGCCACCGTGCCGCGAGGCACGAGTTGAAGTGAAGTGTCCTCAAATCCTGCGGGCCCTCTGTCATGAATGAGTATTGAAGGGCCTGGACCCCAACGTACCAGATTCTCTGGGGTGCTTCGCAGACCCCTTGGGGCTTGTCGCAGACATCTTCGGGCTTCTCGCATGACTGTTCCCGAAGCCAGAGGGTCCCCCTACACGGAGAACCCCCCTACATGGAGGTCGAATCTATATCGAGGGTAGGACTGTAAACGGCCATCAAATACGTTGGCTTTCTCGAAGGAGCGCCGAACGGGCACTGATGAACGTTCAGCCTGACACCTCCAGCTAGGTCAACAGAGCTGTAGTGCCATCCAGGCAGGTACCAGGAGCTAGGAGCCTCTGTGCCACTGGATGGTACACGACCGCAAGCTCTGAGGTGGTGTGGAGCAGACGAATGCTGAGATTGAGCTGCTCGGCCACGTTAGCCGACACATGAGCGATCCCCCAGAGATGCGACATCAGCCTGACAGGACGGAAGCGAGCAAAAGTCAAGGTGCTCTGTCCCCTTCGCATGGGACTCGACATCTGGCAACCGACCAGTTCTAACAGGGCGAACCTGTGAGAAGGCCCTACCACTCTGCTTGATTTTGTGAGGTGAACGCACATTAGCACGGAGCGTTAATGTGTGATGCCCTCGGGGTAGTGATCAATGGGGCCGATGTTAAAACCTAATACCATGCGCTCACCAAGGACAATCGAAGGAAGCGTGACGATCCTCATCTTCCCCCTCCTCCTCCTGTTCTTGCCTCTCTCCCTCATCCTTTTCCTCCCTGTCCCTGTTCCTGCCCCTATTATCGCGCAGGCTGGTCCCACTCCGCGCGTACATGTCTGCCTGTCGCCCTCGAGAACAGAGGGGGGCCCCGAGGGCATAGCCGGGCATCGTCCACTCGAGGCGTCGTTGTCTGTCCTCCTGTCTGTTTGGCCGCTGCGTCTCACTGCCTATCGCCACCTGAATGCGTGTTATGTCGTTTTCTTGCTTTTGCACCTGCATGTTTGTCTGGTCACACTGTGACCTAACGCGCCTTCGTGTCAAGCAGAGCGGCGCAAGCAAGGACCTTTCCCGAACCACATTAAGCCTGCAAGCGCGTCTCATTATGTTTTCCCATCGGCGCGATGCTGTCGGCTAGGCGCTCAATTGGGTGTGAAACTCTGTCACGGCTGCGGTGCGCCCAGCCCTGAACACGAGGCCCCGACTCAAGAGAAGGGAAGGGGTGGAGCGAGGGGCTGATGCAGGCAGAGCGCCTGGGGGGCAAAGCGAGGCCCAGGGAGGCCTATCAGCGTCGAGTGCGGGAGGTCGTCCAGATTAACCTGCAGCTTCAGCAGCGCCAGGTCCCCTTCGAAATCCCACTCGTCGCCTGCCGCATCTGCCATTTCGTCGCTGACCAGCGGATCGTGGGCAGCAGCTCGCTGGATCGAGGGGGGCGAAGTGACGGGTAAAGACACGATGCTCTGGGGGTGTGGCATGTTTTGGTACTCTCTGGTCGGTAGACAAATGTGAGATAAGTGCAGTGCAAACATGGTGATACCCCAACCTGCGCACATGATTACCTCCCTGCGTCGGCCTGTCGGCCTCTCCGCTTGGCTATCTGCCTGCCTGCCTGCCTGCTCACCAATAGGTCACTTTCTGGTGTCTTTGACAACTGCTCTGTCCGTTAATGCCCATATCCGCCTTGCTCCACGGCCTCTCTGTCCCCGTGCGCCTCTGTCCCTGTATCTGTGTCCCTGTCTGTCTCTGCGCCTGCGTCTGCGTCAATATTTGCCCGTCTTTCTGGCCCTGCTTTGCAACCGCCGTCTGTCTCTCCCGCTCTCCCTGCGAGACTCCGGTGTCCCTGTCAGCCCACGCCGTCCTTCCCTCCTGCGCGACCCATTCCGCACTGGCACTGCGAGGTCGCTCCGTCACCCCACCCGCCCTCCTGGCGGCGCGTACAAGAAAGGGGGGGTATACGGGGCGCCCCCGTTGTGGACGCCTGAAACGGGTACGGAACAAATGGGTACGTTGCCCAACCACAAATTTTGTGCAAAACCGACAGCGGCCGTTGTTGGGCAGGCTGCCTTCTATCTCAAGTGGACAGCGTCCGCGGCGAACCGACAGCGGGTCCTGTTCAAAAGGAACAGGGCGTGCTGTCGGTCTTTGTGTGTCCGTTCTTTCCGTACCCGTTTCGATCGTACCGACCCTCCGCCTGTGCCCTTCTCCCTGCCCGGCCCCTTCCGAGCCGCCGTACTGCGTGTAGCCCACGATCTGCGCGGAGGTGGTCACGGTCTGGACGTGCCTGGCATGGCTCGGAGGAGCCGTGCGCTGGCCGGAAACACTAGGGAAGGGACCTGACGGCGGCGGATAAGACAGGCGATGGGCCCGTCAGTCAATCGGTGAAGCCGTGCCACACGGCGCCTCGGCCAGCAAGCACGGAGTTGGAGACAGCACGGGTGAGAGAGTATGTGCACTTCTCCCTCAATCTCGCCGTCTCCCCTCGTGGGACACACGCACACGCGAGGGATCGCCGCGGGACGAAAGCAAGGAAAACCGAAAGGGAGGCGGCACCCTCCCATCCAGTGGAGGCTATGACCGATGGCCGAGCTGTGGCATCATCACCGATCGAAGGATCCACGTGGCCAACCGACGGGGACCGCTCGCTGCAGCGGACGCGTCAGGATAAGGGCTCTACCGCCTCCTCCTCCTCCTCCTCCTCCTCCTCCTCCTCCTCCTCCTCCTCCTCCTCCTCCTCCTCCTCCTCTTTCGCCTCCCTTCCCTCCTACCCTGCCAGTGCCAATCAAAACTCCCTCCTTCCCTCCGCCCCCTTCGACCCCCTCTTCGTCCCTGCCCCTGTCCCTCCCTCCCTCCTTCCCTCCCTCCACCACCCGTCGTCCCTCCCTCCGCCCCTGTTGGCCTCCGTCCCGTCCCCCCGCCGCGCTGCGGGGCCAGCAGGCAGCCGGAACAACGCGGGGGGGGGGCCGGGCGGGGAGCCTGCCGCGGTCGTCGTAACGGAACACCTGCACGCTGATGGGCTGCGTCCTCTCGACCTTCGGCGGGCGGGGGAGGAGGGAGGAGGAGGAGGAGGAGGAGGAGGACGAGGAGGAGGAGAATGGGGAGGATGGGGAGGAGGAAGAGGAGGAGGAGGAGGCGGAGGAGGAGGAATCGAAGATCGAGGATCGATATGATGCTGCGTTGGGGGGCCCGTTGGGCCTCTCGAGGCCCCCGGGGGACCCCTCCCCCATTCCAGCCTCGGTCCAGCCGCGGCGAGCTGGGCGTACCCAGCAGGTCCGCGGGCATGTCCGTGGAGCCCTCGGGAGGCCCAGGCAGGCAGCCTGCGGTGTCGGGCTGGGGGGCGTGCCAGATCATCGTGCCCTTGCGCGTCGTCGCCAGCTTGCGCGCGCAGGGCTGGTCGCGCGCTGCCGCCAGGCGATGAGGCTTGCACGCGGGAGGAGGGGGGGGGGCGAGAGACCGAGCGGGCATCAGGGCGGCGCTGCAGCAAGGGGAGCAGGCTCGGCGAGGAAATCCCCACCCTCGCTGCCCCGCCCTCCCTCTCTCTATCGTTAGCTTCCTTGTTTGTGCTTTCTCTCTCTCTCTCTCGTTCTCTCTCTCTCTCTCTCTCTCTCTCTCCTCTCTCTCTCTCTCTCCCTCTCTCCCTCTCTCCCTCTCTACTCGGCCATCAGAGCAGGCGAGAAGAGACACCGTACATACCCGCAGGGCGGATGTGTTCATCACCCTGCTGTTGTGTCTCTTCGTCCCTCGTCTCCCCCTGTCGCTTCACGTCAAGGTCCAGGGATGGCCTCTTCAAGGTTGACGCTTTCCTCTATCCTTGCCTCCCTCTCTCTCTGTATGGATATACACACCCAGCTATTGGGAAGCCTTATTTCTTCGAGTCATGGGCCACCAGACCGCTTCGCCAACTCGGGCAGATTGCTCGTCCAGTTCTCCGGGTGACGGTCCAGGCCCGAAGCCGCCCCGCTTCCCCACCCCCCACTTCAACCCCCCGAAGACTGCGCAGACCCTCCGCCTCGCAGTTCATCTTCCCTCGTGTGTTTCGGGTTCGTGTTTTGCATCTGCCGCGCCGCGCTCCAAATCACCTTCATTCCTACTCCCCCTCCTCCCCCGCACGTTTTCCCACGACCCGCATGTGGTGGTGGGTCTTGTGCTTGGGGGCCCTCGCTTTGAATCCACAGCGACGCGCGACACCTCCGCCTCCTTCCTCCCTCCCTCTCCTCCCTCACCTCAGTGCCCCTCCCATCAGCATGCCAGCTTCGGCCCCTCACGAAACTCTGCGTGCCTCTGTGGGCGCGTCCGCAGACCCAAGCCCACAGCCCACACACGCGGCCCCATACAGAGCTCTACCTGCTGTCCTTGTGCATGGGCCCGCGTGCGGGCCCGAACATGTGAGCAACCACCTCACACTCTTCGTGCCCCCCCCAAAAGAAAGGCTCCAGCTACGATCTAGCTGGGCACGTCCGCGTGTGGGCCCGCGCCCATTTCGGCCCACCCCCTCGCACATGATGTGGCCTCATAGGGATCTTCACCTGCGGTCTCAGTGGGCGCGCCCGAATGCAGGCCCACGCCCATGTTGGCACACCCCTCAAGGGAATCGCGGACCCGAGCGGAAATCAAAATATGAAGTCAGTGGCCCCATCCGCACGCGGGCCCACCCATCATTTCGCACCCCTCACGCGGATCGTACCCCCACCCTCCCGTAGGGAGCTCCGTCTGCGCGTGTACGGTCTCAATGGGCGCGTCCGCATGCGGGATCGCGACAGTTTCGGCACACCCGTCACTAGGATCGTGGGCCCATAGCGAGCTCCACCCACGGCCTCTGGGGGGCCGTACGAATACGGGCCCGCGACCACTTGAGCTCGCTCCTCACGAGGGCCGCGGCCCCGCAAGAAGCTCCAACTGCGGTCTCAGTGGGCCTGACCGTATGCGGGGCGGCGCCCATTCCGTCCAGTTCCCAGCTTCCCCGAGCCCCAGGGCCAGACCCTGCACTACACGCAGCTGCCTGGGGTTGAACTCCTCGCCAGGCTATTTGTTTCCTGATTGCTCTCTCGCTCTCTCGCTCTCTCTCTCTCTCTCTCTCTTTCTCTCTCTCTCTCTCTGATTCTCTCTCTCTCTATATATATATATATGTAGATTTCTCCCTGTCTGTCTCTTCCTCTTGCTCTCTCTCTCTCTCTCTCTTTCACGTTCTCTCTCCCTCTCACATTCTCTCTCCCTCTCACACTCTCTCTCTCTCTCTCTCCCTCTCCCTCCCTCTCCCTCCCGACCTGCTCTCTCCGTCTCGATCCCTGGAAGCCTCCAAGTGCCCGTGGACGCTTCCAGAGGCTGCAGAAGGGCCGGAAGCGCTCTGTCTGTCTGTCTGTCTGTCTGTCTGTCTGTCTGTCTGTCTGTCTGTCTGTCTGTCTGTCTGTCTGTCTGTCTGTCTGTCTGTCTGTCTGTCTCTCTGTCTGTCTGTCTGTCTGTCTGTCTGTCTGCTGGTTCGATTTCCTTATCTATGTCTCTCTCTCTCTCTCTCTCTTTCTCGCCCTCTCTTTCTCTCTCGCTCTTTCTTCTTGTCTCTATCTCTCTCGAGCCCGACGCCGGCATTCAAAGGAAGCCATGCTGGCTGTCCGGCAACAGGTCCAGCGCGACCCCGACCTAAATCGCCTGGACACCGAGCTCAAGGACTACGTCCAGACCGCACATGGCGGCGGGCCTATTGAGCGCCTCGTCCAGATCCTGCGCCAGCTCTCAAAGATATGGCCAGACTTCGGCACCTTCTGCGATGACTGGGGCGACCGCATCAGCTGGATCGACGAACCCCAAGGAGCCCTGCTTCATATGCTGCGGGCCTCCCAACGACGTGCCTTCCTGCGAAACATCAAGCCTTCGCGCCACGACCTCGGGTACCTCCCGAACGTCAAGGAGGGCATCGACATGTTCGCCACCACGTGGCTCGCCCGTACCAGGGGGGCCCTCGAAACCACCGCCTGGCAACTGGACTTCCTCTACAAGTACCTCTCGGGCGGTGACCACACCCAACAACGCTGCGCGCGGGCAAATATTTCCGCGGACCCCAGCCCTGTGAGCAGATACTGAGAGACAGACAAGGAAGCCCAAGAGCGCACCATGTGGAGGTGCCCCTGCTGGGAACACGAGTGCCGTCCCCTGACCACGATGATCTCGGAAGTGCAATGGATGGTCCTCCCGCCGAACACGTGGCACTGTGGCCTCATCGACGAACCTGCTGCCCTTCTCGACCTCCAGGCTGAGCTCTCCAGGGGCCCGATGCCCCAGCTCATCCCCGACCTCCGGCCGAAGGTCCAGACGGCGACACCTTCACTGCCTACACTGACCCCGACGGCAGGCAATGGGTGTATGCGGGTGCGGACGGTGCCTGCTCGCACCAAGCAATCCCGCTACTGGCGCAGGCTGCCTTTGGCGTCTACTACGGCAGCGGACATCGCCTAAACCATTCTGCCCGCGTGCATGGTCTCACCCAGAACGCGCAGCGAGCCGAGACAATAGCCCTGTTCCACCTCGTCGGCACGGCTGAGCGGCCTGTCCACATCTTCGTCGACAGCAAAGCCGTGGTCGACGGGTTCCACCGGCTCCTGGATGGCCACCCCCCGCTGCATCCATCGCTGCGTCCTTGCCAAGCCAATCCTCTTCAGGGTCGAAAATCTTACCGGCCACCTCGGCGGCGAAGGCGGGTACAATAACCGTATCAGTACCATCGAGGAGGAGTTCAACCGCCAAGCCGACCACCTGGCCACCGACGTTGTCCCCCTTCACCGCCTGCCGGCTTGCCTGATTGAGGAAGCCAAACAGCGCCACCGCTTCGCCGTACAGCCGGGACTGATTGGAGAGGACACGCGAGAGGACACAAGACCCTTCCGAGGGCCACATTGCCATAGGAATATAAGAAGACGTGGGTCGCGAAGCTAAGGACACAAGGGTACCCTTGATTTGGCAGGGTCGACCTACTAACCAGTCTCGACTGTAATGCTGCATAGCGTCGCTGTCGCCATCTACGACAAGCGACGCCTCACTCTCCCGCTCCCTCACAGACGAGCGGGTTACACCAACGCCCAGTTGGACAAGCTTGAACCCAAGCCCATGCTCACTGCGGCGGCCGCGCCCCGCGGCCACCACCGGCTCCTCGAGGATCCCAACGACCTCTGGGAGGAGGCTCAACGCCTCGTCGACCCCGTCGGCGACGAAGACGAGGGCCGATTCGGCTTCGGCAGCGGTACGGACGACCTCGACGCTCCCACTACCCACGCCCCGATGCCACCAGGCCTCCGTGGGCCCCCCCGCCACTAGCCCAGGGGCATTGACCGCAGTCGTGCTCTTCGGTGAGCCTGGCTCAAATCCCTCCAACAGCACGGCTGTTGCTGCCCCGCGCCACGGTGACGGCCCAAGGGCACCGACCGCAGTCGCGCCCACTGGGGAGCCGGCCCCGCCACCGCCCCACCACACCGCCGCTGCCGACCTGCACTACGGTTCAGGTCCCGAGGACGATGAAGACACATCCGGCCTCGGGGGCAGCATAAACGACGAAGACATCAGTTCCCCGTCGCCCCATGCCACGGTCAACCACGCTCCAGCTGCTGAGCCCGACGCACGAACCAGGGCTCGGCCGCTGGCGCCAGCTCCATGTGCCCCTGGCTCACTCCGCGTCGCCGCGTGGCGGTCGTGCGCTAGCCTTACCACGCCCAAGCACGAGCGCCACGCCGACCTGGCCAGCGGGCCTTCCACTGCGGTAGCTGGTGCCAGCAGCGCTTCTGGCCTGGCCTCCTCCCTTTGCCGCCCGACCGAACCGAGCCGCGTTGGCCAGGCTCCCCCCTGCCCGTCGCCCTCGAGCCTGGCCCTGTGCCCACGCGAGGCACTGACCGCCGTGCGGACCTCGCCACGCACCTGCCAACAGGGCTGCTGCTGCCCAGGGTCGAGCCGCGGAGCTACAGGCGTCATGCGACCACCTGGGTCTCCTGTGCACCAGGCTTTCGCGCCAGGCTCGCTCCTGGACCTCCCAACATGGCCTGCTTTGCAACGCCTTCACCGCGCTCAGGCTGCCCTCGCCTCCCTCCGACCCTCGCCTCCGCCCGACGGGGCGTCACCCGTCCCAACTCTGCATGACCTTCTCGGTGCCATGCATGCCCGCATAGGGCCTCCACCACGGCCGCAGGCCCCGCTTCTTGCCAACCCGACTGCCCGCGCGGCCACGCGTCATCGGGGCCTGGCCTCGACGGCGGGGGAACGCCCCGTCGTTCGCAAGCCGCTCGGCGGTCAAGCCCTTGTCCCCCGGCCGCCAACTGGGGCTTCGCCGAACTGGGCCCTGTCCCACGCGGGGCGCAGAATGGTGGCGCATCGCCCCGTCTTTTGCCTCAGTCGCTTAGCGCCGGCGGATGGCTGTTCCAACATCCCCTGTTCCCCAAGGTGTGCACCACAGCCAAAAAGGCGATGGCGGCCTCGGCTACCGCAGTAGCCGGCTGTCGACGGGACCCCCGATTACTTAACCGATCTCTCTCTCTCTCTCGCTCTCTCTCTCTCTCTCGCTCTCTCTCTCTGTCTCTCTCTCTCTCTCTCTCTCTTTCTATCACACATCCTCTCTCTCGCTCTCTATGTCTCTCGCTCCCTCCCTGTCTCTCTCTCTCTCTCTCTATCTCTCTCTCATTCCATCCCTCTTTCTCTCTCTCTCTCTCTCTCGTTCCGTCTTTGTTTTTCTCTCTCGCTCTCTCTCTTTCTCTCTCTCTCTCTCTCCACACCGTCCCAGGTAATTTCTGATCGGCAGGCCTGGGGACCCAGGCGTCCATCCTGCGCAGTTGTTCGAACTGTGTCTGGCCGTGGCGACGGGAAACTCCAGAAACGACACAGAACTTCCGAGTTCGGTTGCGCAAAGACCAGTGACCCTGGGCAGGAGCGACGGCAAGAACGACGGTGGCGCGTCGGGTTGCTGCTCCCTCCGTCTCTGCACGTGCGCAGCGAAGACGAGGAGGAGCAGGACGAGGAGGACCCTCTGCTTCTTGCCGAGTCGACTGCATCGTACGGTAAGGGTGGCCGTTGGTGCGCGGCTCCAGGGGCGAGGAGCGAGGATCGAGGAGGAGGAAGAGGAGGAGGAGGAGGAGAAGGAGGAGGAGCGAGGAGGAAAGAGAAGGAGGAGGAGGAGGGGCCAAACCGAAGCGCGCAAGTTAATGGACGGAGGACTCTGTGGGCCACACGAGCGCGGCGGCAGAAGGCTTCTTGAACGCGACCTGGGGGCGCGGAGCTCCCCCAACCCTCCGCGACAGCCCAACGTCGAGAACGCTCTATTGTGAGGTCGGGCATGTCCTCCCACAGGGGGATCTTGGACGACAAACAAACAATAGTTTTAAAATACGCAAAAACTGTTAAAACATACGCAAAGCATCGTCCCCAGAATATTGTTTTACTATTTTGGAATATTCCTCCTGTAGAGGGACAAGCCCGACTTAACCCTATTGCGCCAGTTCTCCAGACTGGGGCTGGGTCAGGGGCTGCGGCCCACAGGCCGGCGGGGGTTGAACACGATCGGTTCATGATTGGGCGCTGGCTCCTGCCAGAGACTTGTGGCTGCGCTCGGCCAGTGCAGGCGTGCGCCTTGCTGTCTTACCCACCTCGTCTTGACGGTTCGTGCCCGAGTCCTCCAGGCAGGCAGTTCGGATGAACCGCGCCGCCCGCAACTCTCGCCCGGCGCAGAGCTCGGGGCTTCCGAGGGCCCGCGACCGACGGGTGCCGCTCAAGCTGCCCTCCATTGGACGCCCTCACCACTCCCAACCGTCGATCGGGGCTCAAGGACAGAGCTTTGTTGGTTTGGTGCTTTGGGCGACACGTAGTGCTGGCCGTTGGAGGTCTCCAGAAAACCCCAGGGGTCGATGACCCAGATCTGCGGTCGGTCTTTGCTGCATGTGGGCCTCCAGGGGGGGGGGGCATCGGGTCGCCACGGCTGGATCCACCTCGAAATTCTCGTCAGGACGCACCTCTGGAGAGATGTGGGGTGGAAACGCTTGACATTTTAAAAGATCTAGGTTCTGGGTCTAGAGGCCTCCTAGATGGGGTCGGAGTAGACAGGGCCGGAGGATCGCGCCGCATCGCCGATACATCGGCGATGCACCGTCGACGTCGGCGATGCATCGGCGACGTCGACGTGAAGCAAATCGGGCTGCACATCGAGCCGCATCGGCGATGCATCGGCAGTGCGGCGCGATACTCATCTACTCCGATCCCGTCTGGGAGGCATGGAAGGACCCCACCCCTCCTCCCGACCATAGGCTGGCCCCCGGGGTGGCGGTGGGCCGCGTTATCTCCCGGAAGACCCTCCTGCGACTGAAGATCGTGGTGGCCGCGATCGGCGAACAGCCCGCATCCCCCTGCAGGGTCTCCTGTCTGGCCCTTCCTCGGTTTCATTCGTGCCGCGGTCCTTACTCGACGACTTGGCCACGGGGTCCCAGCGGTCAGACTGCTGGATGGCATCCCTGATGACGTGATGGTTAGTGAGGACGAATGTGCCGTTGGCGCCCTGGCGAAGGCGAAAAGCAATACGTAAGAAAAGCAAGGCGTGTCCTCCTCCTTCTCCTCCTCCTTCTCCTCCTCCTCCTGCTCCTCCTCCTTGTCCACCTCATCACACTCTTCTGTATCATGCTGCTGCTGCTACTGCTCGTCCTCCTCCTCCTCCTACTCCTCTTCCTCCTCCTCCTCATACGCCTCCCCCATTTCAGATGCACCAGCTCCTCCTGCACCGTCTCGTCGTCTCCTTCTTAGTCCTCCCGCTCCTATTCATATTTCCCCTGCTCTTTTTCCTCATCATCCTCGTCGTCGCCCGCCTCCTCCTTACTCTTCCCATACCCCCCGCCCTCCGCCTCCCCCATCCCCTCCTCTTGCGCACACCCTCCGCAAGCTCCTCCTCCGCCTCGTCCTCATCATCCTGATCCTCATCGTACTCACCATCATCCTCATGATCCTGCGCCTGTTGCTGGCGCTGCTCGCGCGTTTCGTGTACCTGCTGATCCTAGTATTCCACCTGTTCCTCCTCGGTCCTTGATCCTTATAAGCGACCCTCCTTGTCGCAACACCAAGCGTGTCCGTAGTCCAGGCTGGGCGTGTCGCGTGAAGCTCGAAGTTGTGCAACAGCTACATGGATGGAAGGCGGCTCCATTTCAAAATGGGGCTCTCGCTTGGGTATTCCGCAAATCGTATGACCCGGGTTTCGACATCTGGTCACAGCTTCAAAGATGGAGGGCATATCCTGTTTCATAACGAGGCTACCGCTGGACACAACCTTGAATATCATTATCCTACATGTGTGTGCTCCTCCAGCTGGACGGATTCGCCATCGCTCGGACGCCCATTCCCCCTTGCACGTTTCGATATCATGTGTGGATGGCTTCGCAAGGTGACGCAAAATGCTCTTACATGGTCCTCGCAGAGGAACAAATGCACACGTCCGGTCGATGCCAAGCGGATGCAGGAGGAGGAGGAGGAGGAGGAGGAGGAGGAGGAGGAGGGGGAGGGGGAAGAGGGTGTGTGTGGGGGGGGGGGAAGGAGGGGGAGAGGGGGAGGAGGAAGAGGAGGAGGAAAAGGAGGAGGAGGAGGAGGAGGAGGAGGAGGAGGAGGAGGAGAGGGAGAAGGATAAGGAGGAGGGGGAGGAGGAGGAGGAGGAGGAGGAGGAAGAGGAAGAGCGAACGACGCGCTGAAGGGGAGGAGGAAGAGGAAGAGGAGGAGGAGGAGGAGGAGGAGGAGGACAACCGTAGCCATTCTGGCTCAACTCCGTAATATTTCGGCCCCCCAGAACTTGGCCTTCTGGCGTGGGGGAGGTACGGCCCCACCAGCGAACCCACGGCCACGAGTGGCCACAGGGACACAGTTCAGTGAACTCCTGCTGGAGCATTCCAGCCACGCTGGCACACAGTCTTTCTGCGCCTCGATGGCCAGCAGTAGCAAAAAGGGATATGTGGCGTGTCCTTATCCTTCTTGTCGCTACCAGTGGAATTGGCGCGCCCACACTCGTTGCTGGAAATGTCGCCATTGGCTCAAGCCAGCACCTTGGCGACAGGAGCATGATTTACGCGGAGACTGGAGCCCGGGCCCACCTCGTGGACTTTGGCAGCAGCCAGAACAGCGAGCGCCATCCCCTTTTCCAGCACGGAGGTGCTGAACAGGAACCAGCTAAACCGATCCTCGACAGTGAGTCCCCTTTCGCGACCTCCACGGACGACCTGCTCAAGACTCTGGCCCAGCGACTGCTCACCTCCGAAAGCTCTGAAGCCACAAAGCAGTTGCAGCCTTGGCCAAGATCTTCGGGGAGTCGAAGGCAGAAGACAAAAACAAGAAGGTTCGCCCCGACATCGAAGCAGAACAAGCACTGCACCACGCAAGAGTACAATCGAGAACGGGCAAGGAGGCAATGGACTACGCGGTCAAACAAGACCAGATCAGCCAACAATGGCTGGGTCAAGTCCGTGCTGAGACAACCAATCGCGCGAAGGCGGCGGTCGAAGCAGAGTAACACCACCAACGGCTTCTCAAGCAGCACATCAAAGACAGCAAGGCGCTGGACACTGAGAGCAAGAATGTGGCTAATATCAACCTCTCCAGCCTCCCCCTCCGTCCAGGAGGAATAGGACATCGAGAACATCATCGCACTCGACGATGGGGACACCTTCAAGCTGGAAGACTACGACCTCAGCAAAGAAGAGATCGAGCAGTGGCAGCAGCACAAGCGCAACCTCCGCACGGAAGTATGTAAGGCTATTGGTCAAGCAATTGGCCCTTCGGCAAATGACCTGGCGGAAACAAGGCGAATCATGGCAGAATGGACAGCGAAGTTGGCCACCAAGCGCAGGCGCACAACAGCGAGGCCAAGGGCGGGGCAACCAGTACCTGATGAACCCACCGACCCGTCTGAGCCCAGAGATGCACCTGCGCCAACAGACGACGTACCAGATGCACGACCCGCTCAACCAGCAGCAGACAAGATCGAGGCCACCCCCGAAGAGATTGAGCAAGCCGTGGCAGCCAGCCGAGAGCGGGTGGCATCGACTACTGCAGCAGCATCGGCACAGTCACGAGAAGACGAAGCTCAATGAGGGTAAGAACAGCGATTATAGGGTGGCAGCGGATCCAGATGACTCCATGGTGGACAAGAGCCAGATCTTGACCTTTAATTCTGCAAATTCTACCGAATGGGCAGATGCGGCTTTGCGCTACATGCAGTCAGAGCACATGCAAGGGCATTCAGGTACAGATGGGAATGGAGACACACCTCAGGGACGGGCGGCTTCTTGAGGCACAGCCGAACCTCAGCAAGTTAGGATGGATGTATACTGCCATACCTGCTATACCTACAGCGCTGGAGGGACACCTGGGACACGCAGGAGTATTGGTGATGTGCCGGTCCTGCATCAGCTCGCGGATTATGTACCCTTGCATGCAGAATCTAAGTGGTGAGCCTAAATTTTATGGAACGCATTGAGTGGCCAGAACGATCAGGCAACGCAACATGGGCATCACTTTCATTGCGGTATATCTCAATGGTGGTGAAGGGGCCCACGGCACAAATGCATACATCTTGGTGGAATTGGCAGGATATTTCAGAGCTAAGGCAAGGCATTTTCTTTGCATGGGAGATTGGAATATGACACCAGACGGCCCGTGGCAGACTCGCTGGGTCACTTTCGCCAGGGGCACACGTATCAAAGCTCCAGGGGTCATCGCAAACACGAGCGGCAATGGCAGGATTCTAGACTTTGGAATGGTTTCAGAGGAATTGCCAACCCTCGTTACACTGAAACTTGTTGAGAAGGGACCCTGGTCACCGCATACTGGTATCCGAGGAGTGTTCAATTTCAATGCTGACAATATGGCTGCGCGTATGATGGTCAAGTCGGCCCCGATTCTCCCGTCCCACGGGCCAGATCTACCATGGGCATCTTCTCAAGCAGACGTAGAGGCCATGACCCCGATGGACTACTCAGTCTGGCCAGAGGCCACCAGCGCCGACTTGAGTCGCCAGTGCGCAAGTTTTTCGCAGCGAGCAGCAGCATTTCCCTTACACAGGTGCGGACAGGAGGTTGGGAAAGTTCGGCGTGGAGACTGCCCCCGGGTCGAAGCCTCGGACCTCCTGGCAGGTCGACCACCTGGACAGTTTGGGCACATTAAAGATGTCTGTTTCTGGGGGGGGGATCAGATCCAGGGCCCAGGAGCTTTTCGTGATCAACAGGAGGGGCAAGGAGAAGGATAAGGATAAGGAGGAGATGAATATAAGCCAGGAGAAGGTCATCTGCAGACAGCTGCAATCTTGGGCACAGGGCCCGCAGTCAGCCACGGCCTTGGCAAGCGCTCCAGAGGCAGTGCGAATCACAGGTGCAGAACTGCTAGCAGGGCTTGCTGAGCTGCCCGCAGATCCTGAACAAGTCAGAGACCTCGTAAACAAGGCCAAGGAGACCCTGGCCAAAGTTAGCCTCGTAGCCATGAAGAAAGAGAGTGATGGATTTCAAAAGTTCCTCCAACAGAGCCTCGCCAAAGGGGCCTGTTGGGCCCATCGGTTTAGCAGGGCCTGGAAGCAACCCGAGCTCTCCCCCAGACAACCGAAGGCGCCCAGAAGGACCACTTCCCCAACTGGCTGCGACAGCTTAGGAGACGTACCAGGGAGGAGCAGCTCGCCAACCCCCTCCCAGAGCTGACCCTCGAGCAGATGATCCAGGGGATGAGGCATTTCAAGGCTCGCGCTGGGTTGGGGGCGGACCCATGGAACCCGAGAGAACGGTTAACACTACCTCCTGAAGGCCACCGAGAGCTCCTTGTTGCACTGCGGGGAGTTGAGGATAAGCTAGCGCGGCCTCAACAAACTTTGATCAATATTGTTGATATGACCCCGAAGCCCCCCCCCAGGAGGAGATGGGCCCATCGCGCTCACGCCTGGGCCCCACCGTCCGTGGAGCATCCTCAGAAAGCAACCTGCAACGACCTGGGGGAGAGAGAGAGAGAGAGAGAAAGAGAAAGAGCAAGCGGGTTCCTGGGACTCGGCGGTCAAAGGAAGCAGCCCCCTGAGGGCGGAAAGCTGAAACGCGTGGCCTCCTGGGCATCAACTGGGCCCAGTTCCTCTGTGGCGCCGAGAAGTTTTACGATCCCATCCAACCAGCCACGCTAGCAGGCTTGGCTCAATCGTTACAGTATCCATTGGTGCCTTTCTATGTAGTCCTGCTTCGGCACCTGGCAGATCGATGGCTTGCAGTGGGTCGCATCCTGTCTGATAGCATCCAGCCAACCAACCCCATCATCGCGGGCTGCATGCAGAGTGTAGCTTGGTCGAGAATGTATATATGGGACTTGTTGGACGACATCCACAAGCGTTTTCCTCCTCCGCACAGTCAGATTGGCAGCTGGGTGGACGATTTGGCTCAGCTCAACATCGGCAGTCACACCATGGCGCTCAATCAGAGCATAGCGGTGGCATGCGCAACGCTGCGGAAACGAGCCGCGGAGCTACAACTGCCAGCCCGGGTGGAAGTGACAGAGCGA